ACTGAGTGACGAAACAACTATGGAGTCATACAATCTATTTGAATTGTTGACATTACTGCATTTTAGACAGGTCCATGTATTTTCTAGATGTTGGGTATCGGAAAGAGAAATAGAGTCTGATCTTAGACACTCAACATGGCCCCATTGGTTACATTTGTCACAAACATACTTATTTTGTGAGCTCTTCACTGGTTAGTAGCATAGTAAACAGGGGGATTTGTTTCGTCTATGGACCGACATTTAGGACAGTGCCAGTTCCCCGACGGATGGTCAGTGTGATGTTGGAAGCTAGCAGATGACATGCTAATACAGTCCATGTGAGCCCAGTTGTTACACTCATCACAGCCTATGCTGTTTTGGTTGTTTTTGACAGCTCGACTACAGATAATGCAAGGGAATTTCGCCCTGGGACCTGGGTTAAATTCTACCTGATTGCTTAGTTATATCTTGATCAAAAGGTGGATATTTTTAGAATTTACACGAACAGTGTAGTGTTTGTTTGAGACATGTTTCAGTCAGTAGTTAATGTCACTATTGGTGCTGTAAACTGCCTGGATTTGACACGATATTTGTTGGTCTAGTGCTTTAGGTGGGATTTGCACTGCAAGTGTCATGGGGGTTTCTGTACAAGGGCAGCTTGAGTACCCAATGCCATAGGTGAAGTTTGTAATCTCAACTCTGGAGTGACTGCTCGATTATCCAAAGTAATAGAGATGGTGATTTGTTAGCTTCACTTTGGTCAGACTTTCATCAGGTGTTGTGTTGAAGTGTAGTTGGTAGAACAAACTACAGAATGAAATAATCACCATGAGTTTGGGGAATATCATGATTGGGTGTTGTCTTACCGGCATGATGGTGAGTCGGTAGTATCGTGCTCGAGTAGGAAACTGGTGCAAACAGTGCTGAAATAATCTTAATTACGTTAGATATGACGATGAATGATTACGTCTTCGTCCTGAGGGTCAACTCCCAGGCACAGATGAAACACAAACAAATGAGACCTGTTGTTAGTGATGAATAGAATAGGAATAGGTCAAAGATAGATGCCTATCTACGATACAAACCGACAACACACTTACCGGATGTAAACAATGGGTCACGTGACTATAATGGCGGGAGATAGATGTACTTCAAGGGATTTACAGAACTAAGAAAGTACAGTAAAAAATCGAAATATATGCTATCATCTAATTAGCATGTTATGATACTAAACCAATGGCTAAACATGAAATTTGACAATGAGCTCGTTATCCTCGAAAATTTAGAAAGTATTAGGACTGTGATACAGGAAGATGCCACCTCCCACCTGGGGAGTATTTCGAAACTGATCTAAAATATTTGTGTGTTTTTGGCCTCAAAAACCTTCTGGTGCATTGAAATTCTTTTATAAATTATCTAATGAAATAATTGCTACTAGAATATGTATAGTTGATATTTTTCCACAAAAGGTCGATGTCATCACCAACAAAGGACACGTTTTTTTTTATAAAAAAATCATAATTTGTTCAAAAAACATTTCTGGTCTTTGAAATCGGCAAATCTTAATAAAATATATTGAATTCATATTCGCTAAATTTATTAAGAATAGCACATTTGTAGAGTGTACGAAACCACGTCCCCAACTGCCGTGAAACGTGGAAGTAAATGATGGTAAAAGAAATATCCCATGCGCAGTTCTGCGCATAGGACGTCACATTATCAAATATAGCGCAGATTGCGTACATCTTTTAGATCAAAGTAGATCCGATCTTCCCGGAGATGTATTTGAAAAAAATATGTAAATCTGTTTCAAAAGTGTACGAAATCAGGTACCCTCACTCTATTCGCCGCACGACACCATCACCCGTCCCACCGGCACCACAAGAAGATTACATAGAGCTTTAATGGGTCCATATGACTGTTTTATATTTCTTAATTTTAAAGTATATCAGTATACCATCCAATGGCTGTTTTAATTGGGCCGTGAAATTAACTATGCTTTTAAACAGAGAAGTATATATTTGTATATATATGTATAGGTCTCATAAGTGATAACGACTGTAGGTTTGATGCGTAATAGGCTTCCGGTTGCGCGCGAAATAGAGACGGTCGTACCATAATCGCTCCGTATGAGTTAGAAAAAGTCTATCAATATCTACGGCATCCTTGTATTTATAAAGCCAAATTTATGTTATAAACGTCGGGTAAATATCCATGAACGTTACCGTTGTAAAATTTTCCGACAAATTTCGTAATAATGCACGAATAGGCCTCTTCAAGTGACACAGGGTTTCTGGTTGGTGAAATGAAAATGGCGGCCAGTTTGAAAAATCAACGTGTTCTCTGAAGGTGATGTGGGTGTAGCTGTGGAAATGCGTGAGTAGAAACCCTTTCTAACTTATCAATGAGTGTTACAGGATAAACAAGGCACTTGACAGTATTTGCAACACTGAGGAGGAACACCAGAAAGGCAATCCTAGTTTCGGACAGCAAGGTCGGGGCTTACCTTGAGATTTTTCCCCCCTAGTGGTGGACGTTTTCCGTTTGAACTCTGGTGTATGTCAGGTGCAAGAACATCTAGCCTTGTTGACTTAATAATACAGCGTATTGAAAAGGCAATTAAGAGACATAAATTCGTTTCCTTATACCTATGGAGCGGAACCTGCGACATCGGTGAAAAAGTAGGAAGAAATATCGTAGTGAGGACACCGGACAGTGATGACACAATAAACGAAATAATCTACCACTTTAATAGAGCCATCGAATGCGTAAACAAAAGTCATGGAAGAGTCACAATAAAGCTTGTAGAGTGCCCCCCGTTCAGTACTACAAACTGGAATAAACACAAAGGTCTTCCCAATACCAATGACTTGAAAGAGCAGGACAAAGATATTTCACGTCAATCTAAGCTACTGAACGACAGGATAACTGCGCTGAAACAGAAAACAACCAGTCAACCGTAAAACTAACCAACAATATCCTGCGTTGTCGTAAACAGAAAAGACAAGAGACCCCAGAGGGATCTTGGCGCCCACCTTTGTACCATCTTCATTAGTTCTTTGTCAGTTCGATCTTTTCTCGTCTTTCCTCTAATCTGTTTGATCGAGTCATGTTAACAGTGAATGCACATTGAGGTAACTTTTGATCTAAACTTAATACTGATGTGTATGAAAGCTAACCTCCAAAGTGAGTTTGTCATTTCACATATTTACTAGTACAGTATAACATACTTAATGTGAAAGAAATAGAATCGATCATTGCAATATCTGTTTAGTTCTTCCTTTAGCCATTTTGTTTTTATGATCAGTCTCCAAATAT